GGTAGAGAGTGCCCCGCCATGGGAAGGGTCTCTCGGCATGGGGCGGAGCAGCCGCAGGCAAATAATTGCTACAACTCATGCCACTCACGTTTGCCTTTTGTGCCTGCAGCTTGGCTCTGATTAATATTCTAGGCAAGAAACGAGAGGCTGAGAGTGCAGAAAACCTGCCTGCACATGCAGCGCTCCGATCTATCCCTCTGGCCACCAAAGCCAACGCGGTCAATGCAGAGGGACTGGGCCAAGGGCTGGCTAGGTGCTGCAGAGAGGAGTCTGCATGCCACGGCTCAGCCCTGCAGGTGGGACCCCTGGGCTCCAGCAGCCCCTACCAGGTGCTCGGCAGGTTGAGGTGCATCTTGCAGCCCCATCCTCCCTGGGCCCAGAGTCTGGGGCTCCCCCCACATCAGTTATGACGAGGATCCCCATTTTCTCTGGTTTAAAAAAAAAACAACTCCCAAATTTTCTGGTTTAAAAAATGACCCCAAATCCACTTTCCCTCATGATTAAAATAAAACACCACAAACATTTGCGTGTGCGTGTGTGTGTGTGTGTGTGTGTGTGTAGTCATGGAGTATAAAAGTCAAAGTAAAAGCACCGTTTCATTCATTACTACTGGTATAGCTTTAATTGAAAAATAAATTACAATATTTAATAGTAAAATAAATTATTTAAAATAATTTATAATGTAAGGTACATAAGATTTTTAGATTATATGAATGAAGCCTTAGTCTGTTTTAATGTTGACCTTGCTTTATTGGAATTGTTTACGTTAAAAGTTTACTTCATTTTGAATAAAAAAGTGCACACTCCACTTTTCAAATTCAAAATGAAGTAAACTTTTAATGTAAACTATACATACATACATACATATATATAAATGCCCCTATATTTTTAAATGCATAAAGTGTGTGTGTATATATATTTTCAAAATATTGTTAAAAAACCCGAAATCCACATTTTTTCCATAACTGGATTTGGGGTTATTTTTTTAAACCAGAAAATTGAGGAAATGTGGATTTGGGGTTGTTTCGTTTTTAATCAGAAAATTTGGGTTCGGGTTTTTTTGGTTTTTTAACTCAGAAAACCCCCGGATGCCCGGTTGTGACCCTGCCTTGCCCCTGCGACACCCCTGCCCACCGCCTCCGCCTCCCTCCTCTGGCCCCGCCCCTAGGCCAGTCACGCCCCGCCCGCCTCGCCCCTACCCAGCTTGTTTATCCACAGCCTGTGCACGTGGAGGACGCGCGCTGCCATTGGCTGCGTTCCCACACAGCTGCCGCCAGCCCGCCAATCTCCGCCATGTCCACGCGCACCCGCTGCCTCCGGATTGGGTGCGCCGGGGCGATCACGCCGAGTGACGCACACGGCGTGCGTGCGCGCCGAGGGGCCAACCGGCTGCGGGGGAGCCGGCGGGCGGTGACAAATGGCGGGCCGGGGCGGTGGGCGGCGGCCAATGAGGCGGCGGCGGGGGCGGGAG